ATGGCCAATGTTTCCAAAACTATATTGAACAAGAGTGGTGATAGTGGACATCCTTGTCTTGTTCCTGATTTTAGTGTGAAGGATTTCAGTTTTTACCATTTAGTATCATATTGGCTGTTGGTTTCTCATAGATGGTTTTTATCAGATTGAGGTAGAGACTGTCAATTCCAATTTTTTGTAGGGTTTTTATCATAAATGCATGTTGGATTTTGTCAAATTATTTTTCTGCATCTATTGAAATGATCATATGGTTTTTGTCCTTGGCTCTATTGATATAGAGTATTACATTGATTGATTTGTGTATGTTGAGCCATCCCTGCAGCACTGGGATGAATCCCACTTGGTCAGGGTATATGATCTTCTTGATCATCTTCTACATTCTATTTGCTAGTATCTTATTTTGCATCTATTTTCATTAGTGAGATTAGTCTATGGTTCTCTTTTTCAGTTGGATATTTCTCTCCTTTGGGGAGCAAAGTGATGCTTGCTTCCAAGAATGAATTCGGCAGTATTGCTTCCCTTTCAGTTTCACTGAAGAGTTTAAACAGTAGTGCAGTAGTTCCTCTCTAAATGTCTTGTAAAATTCAGGAATGAAGCCTTCAGGACCAGGGAATTTCTTAGTTAGTAAGTTTTTAATTGTGTTTTCAATTTCATTGATTGATATTGCATTGTTTAGAATTTTTAAGTCTTCTTCCTTCAACTTTGTTAATTCGTACATATCTAGGAATTTGTCCATTTATTCTGTGTTTTCCATCTTATTGGCATACAGGTTCTCAAAGCAAATATTGATGACCCTCTGGATTTCTCCTGTGTCCATTGTAATGTCATCCTTTTAATTCCTAATTGCATGGATTTGGGCCTCTTCTTTCCTTTTTCTGATAGGTTTGGCCAAGGGTTTGTCAATGTTGTTTATGCTTTTGAAGAACCAACTCTTGGCTTCACTGATTTTTTTGTATCGTTCTGTTAGTCTCTATTGAATTGATTTCTGCTCTGATCTTTATAATTTCCTCCCTTGTATGAGCTTTGGGCTTGTCCTGCTCTTCTTCTTTTTAGAAGCTTGAGGTTCAGCATCAGGTTGTTTAATTGGGCTCATTCTGTTTTCCTAATATGTGTATTCACTGCTATGAAATTCCCTCGTAAGACTGCTTTCATTGTTCCCCATAGATTCCAATATGTTGTATTGTCATAGTCATTTAATTGAAGGAACTGTCTGATTTCTTCTTTAATTTCTTCTGTGACCCATTGGTTATTCAGAAGTGTGTTGTTCAATTTCCACGTTTTTATGAAATTCTTGTGGTTTCTTTTGCTATTGATCTCCAATTTCATTGCACTCTGGTCTTATACTACACAGGGGATAATATCAATTTCTTTGCACTTACTTAAACATTTTCTATAAGTGAGTATGTGGTCTATTTTGGAGAACCATCCATGTGCAGTGCAGCTGAAAAGGAAGTTTATTCTGAATTTTGGGGGTGGAACACTCTGTAAACATCTGTTGTTATTTTGTTCAAGAGTTTGATTGAGTTCTAGTACTTCATTGCTTATTTTTTGTCTAGTTGATCTATCTATTTGTGACAGTAGGGTATTGAGGTCCCCAACTAATATTGTATTAGTGCTTACTTGATTTTTCATGTCCATTAGTATTTGTTTTATATAGTTGGGCGCACTAGTTTTTGGTGCATATATATTTATGATTGTCATCTCTTCCTCTTGGATTGCTCCCTTTGTAAGAATCTTGTGTCCTTCTTTGTCTCTCTTAATCAGTGTTGGTTTGAAATCCACTTGATCTGCAAAGAGGATAGCTACTCCTGTTTTTTTCAGATTCCTGTCACATGGAGTATTGTTTTACTCCCTTTAACTTTCAGTCTATGAGCTTCTTTTTGAATTAAGTATGTTCCTTGTATGCAGCATATTGTTGAATCTTGCTTCTTGACCCATTCTGCTAGTCTATTTCTTTTGATTGGTGAATAGAGACCATTAACATTGATGGTTATAACTTACATATATTGACTTTTCATTATCATGACTTTTTCTGTTTGTTGGATTCTCCCCCTTTGCTTTAATTTACTGTCATGCCCAATGGATTCATTCTGCTGGGCTTCCAGGGGTTGCGATCCTCTTTGTCTTCTCTTAGGATATTGTCTAAAATTTTTTGAAGTGCTGATTTGGTGTTCATGAAGTTCCTAAGGCACTCTTTTACATGAAAGTATCTTATTTTTCCATCAGTTTTGAAAGATAGTTTTGTAGGGTACATCAATCTGGGTTGGAGGCTGTTTTCCTTTAGGGCTTAAAATATGTGACTCCAAGCTCTTCTTGCCTTGAGTGTTTGCATTGAGAAGTCTGATGGAATTCTTATAGGCTTTCCTTTGTATATGATTTGTTTCTTTTCTCTAACTGCTTGTAAAATTTTGTTCTTTTGTTGGGTTTCTGGAATCTCAACTATTATATGCCTATGTGTAGATTTTTTTTTGATCAAGGCTAGTTGGTGTCATATATCCCTCACTTATCTGTATATCAAGTTCTTTTCCCCTATTTGGGAAGTTTTCTGCCATCACTTTGGAAAACATTTTTTTTTTATGTGGTCTGCACTCTTTCCTGTTTCTTCATTGTCTCCAGTCAGTCTGATGTTACTCTTCCTTGCATAGTTTACTAGCTGCTGGATTGATTTCTTATGGTTCCTTGCTATTTTTACGAAATTTTTCTTTTCCTCCTCACTAATTGCAATCTTATCTTCTATATCTGAAATTCTATCCTCATGTTGGCTTATTCTGCTGCGTAAACTTTAAGTGGAGTTTTTAATCTGGAAATCTGTTTGCATCTGTTTTATGGATTCCATTTGTTTCCTATGTTGGGATTCCATCATGTTCCTCAACTCCTCTCCAGATTTATTAATCATGTCTTTCACTATGAGCACAGTCTCTGCTGTAATCTGAGAAATTATTTCTGATTTCATTTTTTCCAGGTCCTCTTTTGTTACCAGTTCAGGGAGTCCAGGTGGTTGAGTATCAGACCTTCCCATCTCCTTTTCCTTTGAAGTTGCCTTAGGTGCTCTGGAAGTCTGGTTTTGAGACTTGTTTACGTGTCGTCTCATTTCAATGGGGGGCGGGGGTACTGCTGCTGGTGGCCGCATGGCTCACCTCCTGGGCACTGGGGGCAGTGGTACTAGCCAGGTTGACTTTAAAGCTGTGTTTTCCTCTAGTATGTATTTTTCTGTTAACCATAGAGTGATGAAGGAATTATTTATTTAACATAGGAGTATAAAGCTTTTGCCTGTTGGTAGTCTGAAATCACAGGGGGAAAAATGAACTGGGGCTTTTAAAAGTAGTTCCAATGAAAATCTCTAGATTGAAGTTATTAATCTTAAGGAACTGTGCAGTAGGCACCATTGTTTGTTGTGGTTATTTTGCCTCTGCAGTGTATTGATTCAGTAAACACATTCTTCCCTGTGGAATGTACCAAAACAATAAACTTTCTCATGCAGTATTCTGTAGAAAAAGAAAAGTTTCTAAATGTTTCTCATTAATAAAATGATTTTAAAGTTAAACTCACCTGGTTTATTAAAAGCTGAATGAAATAAAATGAATATTGAATCATTTAGCAGTACAAGAGCTGCTAAAATTTCTGAGCCTTATGCCTATGATGTGTTACTAGATGGACAGCTGACTGAAGAATTGAAGGGCATGGCTTTTTTGTACTCCTTTAGAAACATCATCTTCAGTGAACCTCAAAATTGCACTCTTAGTTAATAGCTTCCCATTACTGCAAAATCCTTTTTCTCTCTTTTGGGAAAGAGTTGAAATTAAAACCAACTCTTGCGGTAAGCATATTCTGTCTTAAAAATAGTTACTGGAATTGAAAATTATATCCATTACTATCATCAAATCTCTTTTCTAAATTGATACTTCAGAATTTCTGTACAATAGAATTACAGGGTTGGCCTTATCATTCACCAAAAGAATCCTCGAAGGTTAATTTAATTATTTATTTCAAACGTGTAAATATTGAGGTCAGCTATATTTCCACCAAAACTAAAAGATAGTGACAGGAATTGAACAGAAATGGAGAGAAGATACTATAGGTAGATATGAAGAAAAAAATATTAGTCTATGGTTATACAAGGGCAATATTTTCTTTCAAAATATCTTCCCAGAAAGATTTTTTTATCTTTTGTTAGTATTTTATGTTCAAAAATTCAAGAAAAGAAAAGAAAGCTCACATATTTTGAAGTCTAAATCAGCCCAGAAAACAAAGTTAATATTGCTTTGGTTATAAGTTTCTTGTTACCAAGTTCACATCTGCACTGATTAACATATTTCAAACTGCACTATTTTCTATCGTTTACATATAGGAAAGACTAATAATTTTGCTGTTCAGTAGTTGTATCAAAATGGTAATGTTGATTAATTTAATGAGTTAATAGGTAAACTATGGTTACCAAAATCCTAAGGGTAGTATAGGTTTATGGATTATATCTTTAAATGATTATTTATTAATCCTACCTGATAAAGAGTTATGGAGTTATAGCAAGGAGTGTATGATAAATAATTAAATTTATATCCTAATAATAAGCATACTAGAATCACTTATAACTTATTTGATGTTTTGGTAATGTAACATTATAACTTTTATTGTCATTACTGTAGATTGCTCCTACATCAGACAATGACTTTGGACGATATAATTGCACAGCTACCAATCGTATAGGAACAAGATTTCAAGAATATATTCTTGCCTTAGCTGGTAAGTATAACACTTTTTTTGAGATCTCATAAAATATTACTGTAAATGAATGAAACTTTAAATTGATTGCATAGCATCATCTAATTTCCAGGTTATTATTTAGATGTTCCACATCATTTCATTCTCTCAGTAACCTTAGCAAGTGAGTATTATTTTTACCTGCATTCTAGAGAGATAAATACTGATGTGTGTAAAGATTAAGGGATTTTTTGGAAGGTTGCAGTTGAAAAAAAGTGTCAAGACAAGATTTTGGATCCATAGATTCCATCATATATCCAGCATTTTTAGTCCAACATTATATCAGCACTAATTAAGGAGGAAACAAAGTGTAATTAAACAAATACATTTTTATAATTACTGTTCTTTCCAATCATTAATTCATTCAATGGTAGGGAGTACTTGTTAACTATTGAAAAATGAAAGGGGCTAGGAAGTAATTTAGAAAAGTATGCTAATAGTAAGAACTCTATTTGTAGGCTAGAACATCCATAATCACAATTGAAATATTGGACTGTGTTTGATTTTTCCATTATGGCCTTCTGTTTACATACACTCATATATGTTAGGTAATCCAGAATATTGAGAGAAAGACTGGAGAGACTAAGATTAATGCTATAAAGAGAGTGAAACTCCTACATGTCCCCTTCAGGGAAGTGAAGTGATTAGAATGTTTCTTCAGAAAGATTGATCTTGCATTTTCATGTCATATGGATTGAAGTTTTGCAGCAAATCAAATAGAAAAGAGGACAAGAACCACTGTTATTGTTAACAAAGGCAGATAGGGCCAGAATATGGGAGTTAGCATTGAAAAAAGGGATAAGCTAAGAAGAAGTATAATGCAGAAATTATTGAAATAACATAGCAATTAATTGTAATGTATAGGAGACATAAGAATCAAGGTGAAAGGGTCACCAAACAATTGACATGAAAAGCAAAAAAGAGATAATTGATTATAGGACTATCAGACACTCTTAGACGTGTGCTGTATCATATTTTATAAATTGATAGGTAAAAGTGTATGTAATGATTGTGTGCATCATGATATTTTGAAGTAATGCACATTATGGAAATTTTAAATCTAGCTGATTAACATATGTATTGGTTCACAGAGTTTGTATGTTAGCTTTAATTTCTGGAATATATAATTTATCAAATATTTCCTCAAGACTCCATTTACTTTTCTTTGCTCAATGTTGAATTCTATGTGTAGATATATTTATAAATATGTGTGTATAAAATATTTCTTTCTTTCCTCAATAAACTTATAATTCAGTAGTTAGCCCACAATAGATTTTATAATTTTAGAAGTCAAGATGTAATGAAATATACACAATCAGAATGTAGATAATCTAAAAAGATACCAGATCTACAAGTTATAGGTATACCTTTACTTCTTTTTTTTTCTTTTTTTTTTTTTTGGTACCGGGGATAGAACTTGGGGCCTTGCACTTGCAAGGGAGGCAGCGGCACCACTGAGCTAAATCCCTGGCCCAATATATACTTTTACTTTTAACCAGATAGTAGAAAAAAGAAGGAAAAATATGAAAAGCCAGAGTAAGAATCAGCAGACCTGAAAAAGGACTATATATCTAGAAAAGGATAGCGAAATGTCTGTGTGGATGGTGCTAACATTGTGCTAAAAACACCCAGGTTTAATCTCTATAGTGCACCTCGTCAGGGCACACAGCTTACTCCAGAGTTAGAGTCAGAACAAGGGTTCAAGTATGTGCCATAACATCAAGAGTGAGAGGATTTATCTTTCCCTCATCTCCCCATATGTCTTATCTTTATTTGTGACCTATATCTTCAAACTGAGAACCATGATTGTTGTGTAATGTACACAAGACAGTTGCTTAATGTGGGCTGAGGGATTGTCAGTCTTACCAGGCAACCCATGCTTGTTTCTATTCTTCCTCTGCAATCAAGCACACCTACAGGTGAAAGTTTGGAACAAACTTGCAGATGTAAAGACCTGCACTTTAACAGAGAGATTAAAAAAACAGGAAAACTGAATGTTTGTGTAGGACAGCAAGATACATTATTTGGATAACTTGAATGTTGTACTTCTGGATTAGATTTGCATAGCAATATGACATGTGGATCTACCAGTATTCAACACATTTATTTTTGCATCTTTTAGTTACAACATAATGAACTACATAACATTTCTAAGTTATTTAGATTTCCTAATGAAATCTGATATATATGCTTTTGTATTTCTTTACATTAAAAAAACCCTAAATCTGCCCCCAGCTCTACACAGCATGTTTTTATGGCCTATAGTGATGTGCTAGTGCTGTAGTAAATAAAGTTCATCTGTTCGGACTGCCATTTGAGATTTTTATATAAATGCTTATATGATACCAGGCATACACACACATGCACGCGCGCACACACACACACACATACATTCTTGTTTAAATATCCATATTTCTTCAAGAATATTTCAATTAAACAATAATGCCAGTGCGACATAGCAGAACTTATGCGACTCAATGAAAGCAGTCCTATGAGGGAAATTAATAGCAGCGAATCCCCACATCAGAAAAAGAGCAAGCTTGGGGCCGGGGATTTAGCTCAGTGGTTTCACTGCCTGCTGCGCAAGCACAAAGACCCAAGTTCGATCCCCGGTACCTAAAAAAAAAAAAAAGAGCAAGCTCAAATAACCTAATGTTGAACCTCAAAGTTCTAGAAAAAAAATAAAAGCAAGCTAAACCAAAATATCATATGAAGAAGGAAATTATAAAGATCAGAAAAGAAATTAATATAATTGAGACTAAGAAAACAATACAAAGAACTAATGAATTAAAGCATTGGTTGTATGAAAGATTAAATAAAACAGAAAAACCCTTAGCCAACCTTATCAAAAGAAGGAAAGAAAAGAGCCAAATCTATGCAGTTAGGAATGAAAAGGTTGAAATCACAGTATCATGCAGAAATCCAGATCATTACTACTTATTTTGAGAATATTCACTCTAATAAGATGAAAAATTCAGAAAAAATAGACAGATTCTTAGACACATATGAATTGCCAAAGCTGAATCAAGATGATATAAAACTTCTAAATAATCTAATATTTGTTAATGAAATTGAAGAAGTAGTAAAAAAACAAAAACAAAAACTGCCAACCAATAAAAGGCCAGGTCCTGAGGAATTCTCTGCTGAAATCTATAAGAACTTTAGAGAAGATCTAATGTCATTATTCCTCAAACTGTTTAATGAATTGAAAAGGAGGCAATAATCCCAAAGTCATTCATGTACGGAAGCATTAACTTGATACAAAAACCAAAGAAGGATCCAACCACAGAAAGAGAACAACAGGCCATCTCCTTAATGAACATTGATGCAAGAATCCTCAATAAGACACTGGCATACAGAATGCAGCAAATCAAAAAGATTATACACTATGACTAAGTAGGCTTCATCCCAAGGATGTGGCAATGGTTCAAAATATGCAAATCAGTAAATGTAATACACCACATTAACAGAACCATGAGCAAACACACACGATCATCTCAATAGATACAAAAAAACCATTTGACAAAGTCCAACATACATGCATGATAAAAACCCTACAGAAAATTAGCATAAAAGGTCTTTATCTCAATCTGATAAAAGCCATCTATGGCAAACCAACAGCCAGCATCACATTAAATGGTCAAAAACTAAAAGCTTTCACTCTAAAATCAGGAACAAGACAAGAATGACACTATCACCACTTCTGTTCAATGTATTTCTGGAAACATTAGAGCAATTAGACAACAGAAGGAAATAAAATGAATTAAGAATAGATAAGGAAGAAGTTAAATTATCATTATTTGTTGATGATATGATACTTTACGTAAAAGACCCCAAAAACTCCACCAAAAGACACCTCAAATTAATAGACAAATTCATAATGCAGCAGGATACAAAATCAGTACTCAAAAATCAATAGCATTCCTCTACATGAATCACAAACTCACTGAGGAGAAATTAGGGAAACAACACCTTTCACAATAGCATCAAAAAATGAAATACTTAGAAATCAATCTAATGAAAGCAATAAAAGATCTTTACATTGAAAACTACAGTGATTCAAAAAAGGAGATTGAAAAGGATGTCAGAAAATGCAATTATGTCCCGTGCTCTTCAATAGGGAAAACCAATATAGTGAAAAATGGCCATACTTCTCAAATATTTATAGATTGAATGAATTTCAATCACAATCCCAATAGCAGCTGGGCATGGTGGCACATGCCTGTAATCCCAGCACTCAGGAGGCTGAGACAGGAGGATTGCTTGAGTTCAGAGATAGCCTGGGCTACATAGTGAGTTCAAGGCCAGCCTGAACTAATAATGAGACCTTGTCTCAAAAAAAAAAAAAATTCCAATTCCATACATTACAGAACTAGAGAAAACAATCCTAAATCCCATAGGGAATCAGAAGAGACTCAGAAGAGCAAAAGGATTTCTGAGCAACAAGGGCAAAACAGGGGGCATCACAATCCCTGATTTGAAGTTATACCACAGTGCTACAGTGAAGAAAAAAAAAGCCAGACACAATGACCAATGGAACAGAAGATGCACAAATATCTCCAAGCACAATTAGCTACCTTACTTAGACAAAGGGGCTAAACACTTTCACTGGAAGAAAGATAGTCTCTTTTATAAATGTTGCTGGGAAAACTGGCTTTCCACCTGCTAAACATTGAACCTAGACCCGTATGTCTCACCACACAAGAAATTGAATGGAAATGGATCAAATATCTAAATATAAAAACAGAAACAATATGCTGGTAGATAAAATTGGTAAAACTATTGAAGACATGGGTGTAGGCGAAGACTTTATGAACCAAACCCTGATTGCACAAGAAATATTACAAAGAATCAACAACTGGATTCTGATCTTATTAAAAAGCTTTTGCATATCAAAGAAACCATCAACAGAGTAAAGAAACAAACCACAGAATGGGAAAATACCTTAGCAGCTATTCCTCAGACAAAGGACTAATATCTAGAATACATAAAGAACTAAAAAAATTAGACACTACATATTAAAAGCCCTGATTATAAAAAATGGGTATTCTGAAATGAGTAGACACTTTTCAGATGAAGCAGTACAACATACATATTCATTCCATATATATGTGGTCAACATCACCAGTCACTCAAGAAATGAAAATTAAAACAACACTGAAATTCCATTTCACTCCATGAAAAATGGCAGTCATCAACAAATCAACCAATAACAAATGCTGGTGAGGCTATGGGGAAAAAAGAACCCTTCTCCATTATTAGTTGGAACATCAACTGATACGACCACTGTGGGAATCATTATGGAATTTCCTCAGAAAGCTAAAACTAGAAGTTCCATTTAACCTAGCTATTCCCCTTCTAGGTATCTTCCCAAACAGTTAAAAGCATCATACCGCAGTGATGAATACATATGCATTGTTATTCCAGCATAATTTATAATAGCTAAATCTTAGAAACAGCTAATTTGTCAGTCAACAGATGAATGGATAAAGAAAGTGTGGTATTTATATGAAATAGAGTTGTACTCTACCATAAAGAAGAATAAACTTGAGTCATTTGTAGCTAAATAGATTCACCTGGAAACAGTAATTTTAAGTGAAATAAATAAGACACACATTGTTTCTCTTGTGTGAGAATTCCTAAAAGTAAACAGTGAACAAAATTGAGGACAGATTTTGGGACATAAGAAGAGCATGTTCAAATTGGAAGAGAAACAAGGAGATGGAGAGAGGAAGAAAGAAAGGAAAAGGGGATTTTAAAAATAAAGAATGAAAGGAAAGTGAAAACATCTTCTGTAAATGCAGAGGTAAAGAAAGGGTGAAGAGAGGGGAAGTTAATGAAAAGAAAAAGAATGACTAACATATATTATGTAAAGTACAAATTCCCTATGATGAATGTGAGCACTATGTTTGGCAAATATGTACTAATGAAAAAAATTTAAAAGAATATTTCAAATATTATGTGGAATAAAGAGAATGAGATTTGAGGAAGATGAAAGTTTCTTTAATGTTCAACATTACTCTTTGCCTTAAAATCTCTGAAGTATAGCTTTGAGGATTTTTTTCCTGTTTTTTATTATCTTCTGTTATTTTTTCTGCTTTTCAGGTAATTCTTTCTGAAGTTTTATATATTAGAAATTAAAGTAGATTTTCATCTAAGCTATCCTACTGAAGAACTAAACAATTAACAAATTTGTACAATGATATACCCATTATATATTTTATATCTGGTTTACGTGTGTGTTTTTTTGAGACAGGGTCTTGCTATGCCATTCAGGCTGGCCTAGAACACACTATGTAGCCGAAGTTGGCCTTGAACTCCTGGCAATCGTCCTGCTTCAGCCTCCTGAGTGTGGGGATCACAGACAAGTGCCACTAAGCCAAGCGTTATAGTTGGTTTTAAAAGGGATTAAGAATTCAATAACTCAACTGAAAGTTTAGTTTACTTAGATGAGATAGAAATGATGTTATAACAGATACTTTGCAGTACTATTTAGATCAGAATACTAACATTTTATCTAACGTCAATGCTTTCCTCAAATTTAGTAATATAATTTTAATGAACAAATATATGCTTTTAAAAATATTGTCTACAGGAGTACTTAAATAATATTTATATAATTATATAATAATATTTATTTATTTTTACATTTCAATTATTCATTTTCTTTCTCTATCTGTCTTACTCAAACACATACATATGCATACACACACAATCAATATGCCTATTTTTCTTCACTTCAAAACATGTTTATATACCATAGAAAATTCACACGTCAAATATTTCCTCAATAAATATTGCCCAGTTTATTTCCTGAATATTTTACTGTTATGCACTGTAATAGAAAGTGACTATTCATTCATTCTTCCAACTCTAAGACCTCAGCCAGGTGTTAGGTAAGCTTTGCCATTGAAACAAGTAAGTGATAAAATAACAAGTTTCCTTTACTCCTAATATTCCTAAATGTACTTACTCCTAATATTCCTACTGACCACTCAGATGACTTGGGTTGTGTTTCTTTGTGTTTGTTCCTTCGTAGATGTGCCATCCAGTCCCTATGGAGTGAAGTTAATAGAGCTATCACAGACCACCGCCAAGATTTCTTTCAACAAGCCGGACTCCCATGGAGGTGTGCCTATTCATCACTACCAAGTGGATGTCAAAGAAGTGGCATCAGAAACCTGGAAAATAGTGCGCTCCCATGGAGTTCAAAGTGAGTCGATGATTTTGACATGCGTTCATTAATTCACATGGATGTTCAGCATACTTGTTTGATTAGCTTTTTACATTTTTACACGTGTTATTTTTCTTTCAGCGTACTGAAGTTGGGAAGAATTTTTCACTGCTTTGTGTTCCTTAAGTATAACTTAAATACACAGTGAAAAAGTCTTCATCTTACATTGTATTATTCCTTTATGTTTTTGTTGTTTTTTGAGATACTGAGAATGGAAACCAGAGCCTTGTACATCCTAGGCACTGAGTATATCATTCTCCCTCCACCTTTCATTAACATGTAAGAGCTTAATAGAATCAAGAAAGTTTTATTCCAGGGGAAATTTTTACATTTTAAAATTTTGTTGATAGAAAATTCCTAATATATTAGATCTCTTGTCTAAATATGAAATGTATAATTCTTTTTCATTATTGATTTTTCCACAAATAGTGTGAAATTCACACTATAAAATTAAGGCAGTGTAATACCAAAAAAATTAAGGCAGCATATTTATCTATTCATTCATATAAAAACTTACCAGTGTACTAAAATTTCTTTCAAACTGTTCTAAAAATGTTTTTAAAATCCAAAGTTTTTATCATAAATCAAAACTTTCTGAATAATTGTATTAACTAATTCTGAAAAGCACAAACATTTTCTATAACTACATTCACTAATGTAGAATTCAATCATGTTGTGAAAGGGTAGGCTTATTTTCTTATTGTGAGGAGAGCTTATAGTAGGAAATAATAAGAGATTACCAGTGTTAGACTCTGCTGATTAAACACAGAACTTTTAGCAGAATTTTGGAGCAAAAGTCATAGCTCTGGGTTCCAGGAGACAAAGCTGGGCCACCGGCACCATAATGCCATTCAGGGACATTAGTGGTGTCCACTGAGGAAAGGAGCTTTAATCAGCATGGCCAGATAAAGAGTTAAGATCAGTTCCTGGGAGGGCTAGAAAAAGTTTGGAGTTTTATAGAAAAGAGGAACAAGGACAAGGTTGGGGGATTGTTTATAGCTAGAATTTTGTACATCTGGGAGTTTAGCTCATCCTGATAAAGTTTTTCTCTGGTTTGATCGGTACAGCAGTACCTCAGTTCAAGAATGCCTCTGTTCATGAACAATTCGGTTTGTGAGCAATTTGGTTCCTGAATAGAAGTATTCCATAAAATTTTGCTTCCATTTGCGAATTCCAAATACAGTGACCATCTTCCCTGTTCTGACATGTGGTCGTGGCTTCTTCTAGTTGAGGCCATGGTCTCAGACAGACCTGTGCACACTGTCTGTGAAGCTGTTTTGCATGTTTTTTAGCACATTCAGTACATTACAGTATTACTCAGTAGAGCATGCTCCAAAGAAAGTGCAGAGCAAGCATGGTGGTAAAAAGAAAGTGAAGAGCAGTAATGAAGGTGACAAGAATGTGTAGAGCAATAATAAAAGTAATTAAAAAGTGCAGAGGAAGAATGGTAAGATTTTGAAGAAAATAGCTATTGAATTGAAGAAGGAAATTGTAGAAAAGCATGTTCATGGTATTCATGTGACTGATCTAGCCACATAGTATAAGATGGCGAAGTTAACAATCTCACCTATTTTGAAGAATAAAGATACCATCAAAGGGGCAGAGAACACAAGTGCTGGCGAGGTGGAAAAACTTAGTGTGGTTGAATGAGAAACGCCAGGCAAGAAATAGCATTAATGAAGCTAGGATCTCAGAAAAAGCTAGGATATTGCACAGTGATTTATTCCAAGAAAGCCTCTCTACAAGTGCAACAGATGGTGAATTTAAAGCCAGTGGATGACGGTTTGATAAATTTTGCAAGATAAGTGGCATCCACAGTGTGATAAAACTGGCAAGGCTTCTGGTTCTGACAAGACTGCTGCAGAAGACTTCAAGAAAAAATTCACAGAATTCATGAAGGCAGAAGGATATGTCATTCAACAAGTGTTGAACTGCAATGAAATAGGGCCCTTCTGGAAGAAGATGCCAAGCAGAATCTCCTCCCCGCCCATCTCCCTGTCCTCCATGCTAGAAGTGGCTTCAAACACGGTTAGTGTTCTTTCTCTGCATAGTGCACTGTACTTTATTTTATATTTGTGTGGTTTAAAAAATACATATGATTCAGAATGCATTGACCTTATTTACATTGAACCTTATGGGGAAAATTTGATTTGCATTGCAACCAGTTTCGTTCCAACTAGACTGGTAGAACAAATTAAGTTTGTGACCTGCGGTACCACTGTATCTCAGGACTGGTTCTCTGAGGTTCTGGGAGAATTATCACCACCTGAGGGATCAGTTTTGTTCCCAAAATGAGATGGTGGCTTCTGCTTTGAGGTGAGCCTCACCTTCCATCATGGAGTAATTTGCCATGATTGAGGGGTGACTCGTGTGGTTTTCAAGACTCTGTTTTTCTTGTAATACAAGGTGACATTTAGGACAATGAACTCCAGCCTTGTAGGTATTGCTCCAATGGGTCTGGAACTGAGCACTGTAAAAACTAGCAAATGGATGTTCTTATAGATAGTGAAAGTCACTTATCTTGATGTCCTTTGTCTTGAAGGAGGATGAGATAGACAATGTAAATTTAGGGCTAATAAACCTTATAATATAGACACTCCCCAAGTGATGAGCACGTCTACATGGCTGAGCAAATAAGGTAGATATATAACTGAAGGCAGAGATTTGAAACTTTGTCTTGCTTTTAGTTTTACACTGGGTATCAGCAGGTCTATCATCTACATCCCTGTGACAGAACTTACTGAGTCATCCACAAGATTAGCACAAAATAGGGAGAAAATTAATACCCCAGCGACTTATTCCTATAAGAGCCATCTCTTATATGTGCGATGATCAGATCAAGGATCATATATGTAGAAAGTTGGGTTTAGTATTAAGCTTGTATCCTCCTGAGAAGAATAAGAAAACCAATCTGAGTAAACATGGAAAATGAGCAAACAAAATTGCTTGAGTTACTTATTTTCATATCTGATTGTTCACTTTTCACTGAGGTTGCCTATAGGTTTCTGTAATAATATCAGAGGTCTTACTCTATTAATCCCCAGTCATTTACCACAGACTTCAAATAATGCCCCCAAACAGTTCTTACTATTTCTTTCAATGATATTGTATTTTGGGTAGTAAAAATTAATTGTGTACACATGTTTCATGAAGGATCTGTAAAAATTACAAATCCCTAAATGAGTATGGCCCATGATCATAGTTTTTTTCTTAAATAAAAAAATTCAACAACATGTCCCTCCCCCATTTTCCTGAGTCACACACACTTCTTTCTTAGATATGCTAACAAATACTTTAAATCAGGGCATGGTCATGCAGAATCATTGCATGAACTCAACTCTGTAGAATACAAACATTTTTTCAATCCAATCACTATTTAAGTCTTTCTTTATGAACCTCTCTGGTTATTTAGTAATAACTTTGACAAACAATGTGCATTTACAGTCATTTTAAGTATAAAACATTTAACTGAATTTTCCACAGTTTGAAACTTATAATATCTTATTTAGCACTCACTTTCAGTTCTCTGACCCTGAGTGCTAGTGTCAAAGAGCTTGCAGATCATATGAGCTGCATCTTCTCTTGGATGGAGGACAGGAGTCAAATACCTCTTATTTTTCTGGTGCTATAGTTCCCCTTCAGCTGTGCATGCTGCCTGTGCTGTCTGTGGGACATGCATTTCATGCTTTTAAGTATCTGTCTCTTAGAGACGCTTTAGATGTCCAATGCACTGAAAGGCTTTCTGGAGAAAATGTCCTTCAGTGGAAAACTACTTGCCTTAATATCCTGAGATCCCCTTCCCTCTTCAGCAGGTTTTAAGCGTGGTCATAGTCCAGCAACCTTGTGCAGTGTCTTTTACCCCAGAGAAAAATTCCACATTCTTACTAAGTCATAAGAACCTAATTTCTACATAGCTGACCACTTTCTTTAGTTTGTTTTTTTCTATTTCAAGATGGCACATAAGACAGACAAATATTCTGTAAAAACAACTTCAAAGGGGAGTGGAAATGCCATTCCGTTTATGCCAAAAAATCCCATGAGTTCTATTCATCGGGTTGAACTATCTTCACCTATTAGGAGGAACCTGGGCAAAAAGTATGACTGAATCCCCTGGGAGATGGATCACTCACCAGTTTGATTTCAAAGGTTCTCCCTATGGTCTGTGCTTCTGAGGCAGCAGTGGACTATGTGCATGGTTGGAGATGTGTAGCTGGGCCTCAGGTCCACGGCAGCCTCATTTTCACTCCTTCATGAGTCGCCTAACCTTTTCCCACTAATTTTGTATTTGATGTCTCCTTCTTCTCTTTAGGACTTTTTCAAGTTGAAAATTATAGGACAATAAGAAAATATTCATTCAATGTTCCATAAACTTCTTATTGCAGGGCTGATTCTATTCCTTCTATGTGAAATTGAGTACACCTCTGTAATTTGACTTACTTAATGTTGAATTCACACATTTCATCTCAGATGACTGTTTGATTTCATTTTAAATATAAACTCCATGTTTTTTAAAAACATGTTTTTAAGGATTTCCTGCTAGAGCCCTCATTATATCAACAATGGGCATGAATCTAAATAAGTGACAAAAGAGAAACAGAAATATAATGGGTTGTCAGGGAGACAAGCTGGGTAACTTAAATCCATTTGGACCACTCCTAACATTGAAAGCTATGTGTATTTGCCCTTACTTTTTAGAACAAGACATCTTTTTCAAAGATAAAGTAAAAATGCATGCTTCACTTGGCACCCTTAATAACGTCTCCTGATTCTCTGTACACTATTATTCAGTAGTATACAAAGAGATGAGCTGCAGTGTCTTACAAAAGAAACAGCCTTGATGAAGAAGAAGAGGATTCAGTCTGAGAATTGCAGGCCTGAAAATTGGTTGTATTCAGCTAAATGGGGAGAAAGATTCACTTAAAAAATAAATATCTTTGGTATAAACTGCCTTGGGCTAAAGCAATCAGTGCTTTGATATC